CCAAGGCCCTGACCTGGCCGCCCGGGGTCCTGCGGGAATGGAGGTCTGAGGCCTGCAGAAGAGGGTTTCGGTGGATTTTTGAGCGGGGTGCCAAGGTCCAGGGTGGACCGTGAAACCCCCGGCGGGAGGGCAGGGGTAGGAGGAGCAGCAGGGGCCTTCACCCTGCCTCTGCTGGCGACGCGTGAAGGCCCTGCACACTGGGGGCGGAGAGGAGGGCAGGCCACCGGCCCCTGCGCCCAGGGTGGCAGCAATCTGGAGGAAGGGTAGGCAGAAAGTGCAGCCGAGAGAGTGAGAACAGGCAGACAGCCGTGGGCTGAGAATGTTAGGCAGGGGGTGTGGGGGAAAGGCACACATACCCATAATCTTCCCAACCTTAACCCATCCCCCGCAAAGGTTCTGATCATGCAAAATGTATCCCCTTCGTTGCCCCACCCTTCCACCGGTTTTCCGTTTTAGCTGTAAACCGGGAGACCATGCCAAAGCCCCTTCACGTTTGGTTTCTACTTTTCTTAAGAGCTACCAGAGATGTCATTGTTTAATAAGTCAGTAACAGTGTTCGCGCTGCTTGGTTACTTGCCCAGAGCCACGTATTACATAAGTCAAGGCAAGAGTGTATGTCTTTTCACAGCCTAATTCCACGCTTTTTCCAAAGGATACCATAGCCAGGAAGCACAATATATTTTATCATAAAGCTACTTTCTCCAAAATCTTCAGGAAATTAATGCATCAAACTTGTGATCTTAGGATAATTTCCCCCTTTTAATCAAAGACACCGCTGGACACAGCAGGTGGAGTCAGAGCTGTAATTTCTACCTATCTGTTCTAAATTACATTCTGGAATCTTGGGTATAAAATCCAACTTCAAACAGTAAATGCCATGTACTTCCCACAGGTACTTTAACACTAACTGTGGAGTAGCTACTTAGTGGATTTGTAGTTGAGCAATATATCCTAATGTCCTTCTTCCTAGTGACTCTGATAGGGACCCCTTTATCGTTTATAGTCCAAGTTGCAAGTGAGTCTAAATAAGAGTTTTAAATGCTTCTCCTATCATTGCAACGTGTAGCAGATTGTTGCATTTGTCAAGAAGGACACAGGTGCTTAGGTTAACATATATATATAACATATATATATAAATAAATTTATTTATTTATATGGCATCATATTATAATTTCATTACATCAGGAAGCCAGCATTTTAATAGTACATATTGGAAAGGAAGACTACCATTGAATCACAGGATAAATAGTAAAAATTCGGTAATTGGGATCCTGAAGAAAATCTTCCAAAATGAAGGGGGAGGAAGTTAATGTGAGACAGTGGAACCGGGAAAGAGTAACTCAGTCTGGTCAAACACTACTACTTTCTATTCCAACTTATATGACTTCTCACAAGCTCTTTAGGGATGAGAAACTGGAAAAGCATCGCATAACAGCATAGGTTGGGGATCTAAGAAGTCTTACACTTGAACCCTTCTTTCCCCTTGGCTCCTTGTTGGCTGTGTCAATAGGGACAAGTTACTTAGCCTAATTGTTGTGTCTTCACCATGTTGGGTAATCTAGAAGAGTTCTTTCTTCCCTCAAAGTTATCAAGTGTTTATACTTCTTCAGAACGAGCCTTCTTGAGGGATAGGAAAGAGGTAGGTCTGGAACTTCCTCACTATTATTAAAAAGTGACATAAAATTCCTATTGTCCCTGGAACCTCAGAGGAATTGGAAAGGGGAGGTGGAAGCATTCCCATTCTGGAACCAATGTGAAGACTGATTTATTTTTAGATGATCAATTCTGAATTGTTTTTTAGATGTTAGGCTTTTTAGATTCTGAATTCCTTTGAGAGCTTGAAGAATAAAATGGAAGATCTCAATCAATCGTATTCCAAGACTAAGATACAAGCAGGGATAATCTTAGAATTAGCAGGAAATTATGTGTTTATGTGTTCACTACTCTCATGCCTCCTGTTTCATCCTGGACTCATTTGTTTGTGGTCCTGGTACCGTTGGGCCCATTTTGCATTTATAGGTGACTGTGACATCAGGCAATTTATTTTATTCAGTTCTTATACACCCAATGTGGAGTTCCTGTTGACTTTATCCTCCCCACTTAACAGCGCTCCTGCTGTGTCTTGTTTGTCTTTGTTTTTATCTGTTCTTCCCCCCTCTCAGGTGCCCAAGAACAGCCCATGGAAAAGTTATGTGAAGAGGTGGTGATTAAGGTCATACAGCAGGAGTGGACATGTTTGGATTTCCAACAGCTACCCTGCTGGACTGTCATGGAAGATATGCCCAGAATGTAGCATTTTTCAGTGAGTGAGTTGGTTGGTCACTGGAATGCCCTGGGTTCACAGAGTTCAAATCCCTGTCCTCAGAAAGGGCCAGCAGTCTGAGGAAGCAGAGGAGAACCTTGGGCAGAACTCACTGTTTGGGGGTGATAGGAAAATTCTGCAAACTAGAGTTAAAAATAATAGTAAAAACTAAGAGGAACAATTTCAAACCAAGAAAGAGAACTATCCTGATTAGGAAGTAGTCTTGAGGTAGTCTCAGAGAATGAATGTGCAGCTTTAAATGTCAAATCCCCCCTGAATAAGGGTTAGACAAGGTCTAAGGAGAAAATTCCCTAAGAATGACAGCAAACAAACTGTTAATAGTGATACATGCACTTGTATTTGAAGTACATTATGAACCTGAGATACAGGAAAATACTCAGTGTTTACATCGGGAATGTTTGAAAATAACTTCCAAAATAAAGTCAATTTTGGTTCACCATAATTTGGTATACATAAGATTACATGGATTTTAAAGGGGGGAAAAATCCTTGGATCAAGGTCTGTAATTGCCAAACCTACTTCTGCTCTATGAGACAAATTATTTCTTTGAGATTCAGGCTCTTCACCTGTAAAATGGGACAAAAAGATCTGCATGTAGATTGTAGGAATTAGCAATAATAAAAATAAAGTACCAAGGATTCTGCTACAGATTTTCTTGTGTCTTGGACCTTACTGCACTATCAAGAAAGCAGAATTGTGGAGCTGCAGTGGAGTGACAATGAACTTAATGAAACCGAAGCTGTAGCACTCCTCATGCATTAGTTTCTTCCAAGGTCCTATGCCTAATTTTTTACTTTCTTAAAAGGGGACAGTTACAGTTTTAACCTTGCAGGCCCTATACATCTTAGACTCACACTTATTTCGGAATCAGCTAAAATCTAGATATCAAGCTCCATATTTCCCTAATTTTCTACACCTCTTATCTATAAAATGGATATAAGTATTTCCATCTCACAAGATTATCTGATAGACTAAATTAAATTAAAATTAGAGGCACTACACACCTGTGGAGCATGTGTGGGTTTCAATCCCAACTCTACACTTACCAGCTGTGAGGCCTTTGGTAACATTCCTATACTCTTATATCTTAGTCTGTAGCAGTCTCATAGGATTATCTCCAGGATTAAATTAATCTATGCAGAGTTTACAGTATAATGCCTGATACATAGCAAACACTGAAAGTGTTAAGTTTTTGCTTTTTTTTATCTATTCTTCTCACTCAGCATATTGGTGCATCTTATATGACTTCCCTCTCATTTTACCAGATGTGATGACAGAAGCTCACCACAAATATGATCACTCGGAGGCTACAGGATCCTCAAGCTGGGATTTCCAGAACTCCTTCAGAAGAGAAAAGCTGGAACAAAAATCTACAGATTCTAAGGCACTACCCGAAGACCCATCTGGAGTGAGACAGAAGGTCTATGATTGTCAGGAATGTGGAAAATCCTTTAGGCAAAAAGGGAGTCTAACATTACATGAGAGAATCCACACTGGTCAAAAGCCCTTTGAATGTACCCATTGTGGAAAGACCTTCAGGGCCAAAGGAAATCTTGTTACACATCAGCGAATACACACAGGAGAAAAGCCTTATGAGTGCAAGGAGTGTGGGAAAAGCTTTAGCCAACGAGGTAGTCTGGCTGTTCATGAGAGACTCCACACTGGACAGAAACCTTATGAGTGTATTATTTGTCAAAGAAGTTTCAGGAATCAAAGTAACCTTGCTGTTCATAGACGAGTTCACAGTGGTGAGAAGCCCTACAGATGTGATCAGTGTGGAAAAGCCTTCAGTCAGAAAGGAAGCTTAATTGTTCACATCAGGGTCCACACAGGCCTGAAGCCCTATGCTTGTTCACAATGCAGGAAGAGTTTCCACACTAGGGGAAATTGTCTTCTGCATGGCAAAGTTCACACAGGGGAGACACCCTATCTGTGTGGCCAGTGTGGAAAAAGCTTTACCCAGAGAGGAAGTCTGGCCATGCACCAGCGAAGCTGCTCACAAAGGCTCACTCTTTGACCATTCTCTGCCAAGCAAGTTCTCGTTAAGAATAAAGTGTACAGACTCCTCTAAAATAAGCAACCTATTAAATTCATCTAAACGAATGGAATCTTTCAGAAAACTTGTCATTGGGTAGGGCCAACTGACTTTCCCTTTCTCCCAAATCTGAAAAAATAAATGTCTTATTATCATTATCACTTATGATTCCTAATTTCTGTAAGTTTATTTTGACTTAATTTCCCAGGTATCTCCATTTATCTGGAGTCACACTTGAGAATATTCAATATGTAGCAGATACAGAGTTTACGTAGTAGTTGACAGCATCAGCCTTTAACAAAAAACAGCCTCCAAATCCCAAAGTTCTTTTCTGCCCTATACATTCAAATCACTCTTCTTTTGTATTCATGACCACTAGGCAGAATTAATGAGGCAAATCTTTAATAACATTTCCTCTCCTTATACCCCAAAGAATCTTTTCTACCGTACCATTCCTGCCTAAAGACAAGACATGTCCTTAATCATGTCCTTCCCAAATAAGGTCCCTTTCCCAGACTGCATAGGTTTGGAGCCTCTGAACTCAGATTTACTTGAATCCTCCATTCCTAAGTGGAATAGAGGCTAATTTGTGTATAGCAATTTATTGAAAACTATTAATTCCTTGAGAACCCGGGTTATTATGGCTACTATTAAAGGGACTCCAATTCCTAGAAGACATGAGGATTTTCACTCACTTTGGCAACAGCAATATCTTGGGGTAGTCAACCTAAAATGGACACAAGGGTCCAAATTACTGAAAGTACATTTGCAGTTAGTAATAGTTTCAGGCCTATAGCAATATCCCTACCTTCTAAAAACAGAAAATGGAAGGATAAACCACTGTAAGAGAACAAAACCTGAAGCAGATTGGAGAAGATGGTTTTTAAGGGAAATTTTTACCTTAGCTACCTCTAATTTCTATTATGAGCATTTATGTATTTGATTTTTATGTAAATGTGGTTTTCTTGATAAGCTAGCATTTTCATTCTTTTTTTTTTTTTTAATTTTCATTCTTCTTGATTAACAAGGTATTTTCCCATTATAAGTGACATCTAGTATAAGAAACTAAATTTATTAATTCCAGAAAGTTTATGAAAGCAATCTTTAGAATCTAGAACCGTAATAATATCAAAGGTCTTTAAACACTGAAACACTTTAGAAATACTATAGATTTGGTTTATTATATTATTGCTTCTAACGATATCCTGATAACATTTGAAGATATATACAAGAATGTTCATAACATGCCACAAACTCGGGGGGTGGAGGGGTTGTCAATAAGTGAGGGGTAAATTGGTATTTTTTGTCCTGAAATATGACAGCAATAAAAAACAAATAGCACACAATAACATGGATGAATTTGAAAGCCTTAAGATCAGAGAAATCTGATAGGCACAAAAGATATAGCGTCTGGGGTCTTAAAAGCTTGAAGGTAAACAAGCGGCCATCTAGCTCAGAAGCAACAAAGCCCACATGGAACAACATATCA